GGGACAATCCCGCCGGAATGTCACTTCCAGCGTTTTTTGAAGCCGACGGCAAGAAAAACCCTGTCTTTGACGCGTTCCGCAACGTCAACCATGTATCACCAGAAGCAATTGTCGATCTCGACTACAATGGCTCAGATAGTGGCGCTCCTTGTCTTCAACAGATAAGCACCAATCTTGGTGCAATGTATAAGCAGATGGTCAGCAACGCCACTGACCCGTTAAGTTTCTTTGGTGGCGAGTTTCGGGCTGGAGATGACCCGTTCGGAAATGGTGACCCATCTATCGGGTCGATAGAGGCTGGTTGTCATACAGCAGTGCATAGATGGACAGGTAATCCAAGAATGCCAAACAACGAGGACATGGGGAATTTCTACTCTGCGGGGTACGACCCTGCGTTCTACGTCCACCATGCAAATGTTGATCGTATGTGGAAAGTATGGAAGGATTTAGGTATCAAAGGACACACTGAACCTACAGACCCTGATTGGCTTAATGCATCATACGTGTTTTATGATGAAAACGAAGAGCTTGTACGTGTTTACAACAAAGATTGTGTCCAAACTGAAAACTTAAAATATGATTTCGAATTATCCCCACTCCCTTGGCTCAAGAACCGACCCGTTGCACATACCAAACCAGAGACCACCACGAAACCTGTTGAAAAGGTTAAAGTGCCGGACGTGAAGTTCCCCATTAAGCTAGACAAGATACAGAAGGTACTTGTGAAGCGGCCAGCGAAAAACCGAAGCCAATCGGAAAAGGAAAAAGCGACTGAGCAGTTGTTGATCAAAGGAATCAAGTTTAATGTCTCCAAGTTCGTCAAGTTTGATGTGTTTGTTAATGACCAAGATGATGTTCCCACAAGCTCGGCATCCGAGAGCGAGTTTGCAGGTAGTTTCGCACAGTTGCCTCATCACCATGGTGGCCACAAAAAGTTAATGACAAGTGCAGCAAGGTTCGGTTTAACAGAGCTTTTGGAGGACATCGGAGCCGAGGATGATGAGTATATTTTGGTGACATTGGTGCCAAAGGTAGGGGCCGAAGATCTCACCATTGATGAAATCAAAGTGGAGTTGGTTCCTATTGTTTAAACAACCATGTAATCTTATCTACACAATAAGGTATATATTTAAATAATTCGTAGGCCTTGCATTCCATTGCATGGTTGCGACTTTTATGTACGAATGTTAATAACTTCATTGTGTCCTTTTTCTACGAGTAAATGGAGTGCACTCAACATCTTTTGCTTGTTCGACTGCTAGAAAATCTTGGCGTAAATAAATTAGCCACCCGACGCATTCCGTCGTGCAAAATGGATCATTAGCAACAAATTAAATATTAGGATAACGTGATAAACACACAACAAAGATAAAAAGAAGAGTAAGAACACACGGATTTATGTGGTTCGTACATGATAATCCAGACAGAAGTTAGACCATTTTCTGTGGTAGTTTAACCGGAAGTTTAATCCCATTAATTTCAAAATCCCCATGAGCACTTAATAAAATGGAAAGTTCAATCCTCATTGAAGCCTACACACATTCTCTCTCCTCACACACATAAATGATGTGATAATTCATTAAATTGTATTGAATTTAATAAAGTGTAAAGTTTAATAGATAAAATGGTATGTAACAATTCATTGAAGTCATTTGAGTTCAATCCATACCTTCGAGATTTTATTAGATTTATAGGATAGATAACCATCACACCATTCTATCACTACTAAAAATCAAGTTTTTAATTGTTGAATTAGGTGTCTAAATCCATAACTATAATTAGTATATACTTGAATTGATAGTATTATAATCTTTTTGGGTTATTCTCAAACCTAACAATTGGACATGATAACTTTTGGAGAGAGAGATTAGTTTATTATGAGATTAACAAATTGAAATATATAGTTTATTAATATACTATGAGAATAATATATTAATATGAAATAATATTATTTAATTACTAATTAATCAGAAATTAATTGGATTTAATTTTGGGATTAGTTGAGTTAATTAAAAGTGTAGGGTCTAGAGTTCAATTGTTCAATAGTTGAACAAAAGGCTTGAGAACCTTCCACAAAGGTGGTGGAAGGTTTTAGGAGGATATTCTAGGGTTTCTAGAAAATCTCATGTGGATAAATAAGAAGTTGGATAATTACCAATTTGAAATATTATTATTATATTCAAATTAGGGTTATCCAGAGCATCCTTGTACCACTATATAAAGGACCCCAGGACCTTAATTTTTCGGTTATTCCACTCCATAGAGAAATAGTCGAAATTTCAAGCGTTCCATCTCCTTTCTCTTAAGTTATCTTGTTGCTAGTTTGGGTGTGATTCCATTACATGTACGATACTTGTGGTGCTTGTTTCCAAGATATCTACAAGAAGGAATCATTGTTATTTACTACAATAACAATTAAGTTATGCATCCTAATCCCTAATTTTTGTTTTCGAAAATCAACTAAGGTTCTTAGGGTTTCTTATTTGATGTTCATAGTTATAGGTTCAATAGTGAAAACATATGTCCTTTTAGGTTGCATGTAAACTTAAGGGTTTTAAGATTATTTGTTTTACCTAAATCTCATCAATGGTATCAGAACGTTTGGTTTGTTTTCTATTAAATTCCTATAATTGTTTAATTTGATCAATTAGGGTTTATAGAAATTAAACCCTAAAATGCTTAGAATTTCGACCAGGGTTAGGGTTTTTCGAAACCCTAGCCCATCCTCTTGGATTTCGAAATTAGGGTTAGAGTTTTGAAACATTAACCTTCCTCCCCAAGTTTTCGAAAAATGTTATATGGTTAGGGTTTTCTATTTTTGATAATTGTTAGTGTAATTTGATTAAAAGGGATAATTACAAAATTGGATAAATCCTATACTTATAATTTTCGAAAATTTAGAGGGTAAGGATTATGATTAAAATTTTTGATTAATTTAATTAGTTAATTCTTATTTGATTTAATATATTTAATTAATTGTTAACTAATGGATAAATATTAAATCATTTGATTTATTTTTGAATTTAAATTAATGTTTTATTAATTTCAAAGTTTAAATAGAATAAACCTGGTATTTTGAGATGTTTAAAATACACCTTATTTTTTATTATTAATTGTTAATATATTATATGTATAAGACTAAGTCAGCTAAGTCGCTAGTATGCCTCATTCACGAAGTCTATCTATAAAGGGGTATAAGGAAATTGCATATAAACTAGTAGTTGAATGGGTGTACACTCTCACCTACTGCTTCCTTGATTGGTAGAGGGTCATTTGCAGAACGAAATTGATAAGACATTAATTCTCATTAAAAATATAATGATATTAAAAAGTACTAGAACTTTTTTTTAAATCCTAAATCTAGTTACTTTAGGAAAAATGTGAGTTATTATGCTAACCTATCAAATTGCACATTACACTTTATAAGTCGTTAGTGGAACGTGTGTGGTTAACCAGTTGTAATGGGTATCTCATAAATTATCACTATTTGTAACGCCCGCAGATCCGGGCTAGTCAATTTAGAGGCAATAGGGGTCAAAAATGACTTTTCGACAAAAGATTATTTAGAATAAATAGTCTTAACCAAGTTTTAGAATATGTCACAAGGTTTCCGTACATATAAAGAACGCCGAAATCTAAGTTATAACGAAAAAGTTATGGCCCGCCGAAGTTTTACGGCAAAACCGGCACGGCACCGGAAGACGTAAATAGTGAATTTACGATAGAAGACTTTTTAGCCTTAGCAATCTAAACAAAAGTCGTAGAATATGTTAAACTAAGAGCGTTGATAAAAAGAACGCCCAAATCTGACTTCGTATGAGGAAGTTATGATTTTTCTAAGATTCGGCTTAGCAGTGTACAGCTCGAAACTCGAATTTTAGTTCGAGCGGTTTTTGGCTTAAGTGAAATAAATGAGAGTTGAAGATCTCATTAATAGGAACTCAACGGTAAAAAGACAGACGAAAACGGAGTCCGTATGAAGGAGTTACGAATTCTTTACGGTCATTTAACAGTCTAAACGCCTCGTACTGTTAAATTTAAGATCGGTCGAGAATTAGCCAACGGAGTCAAAATGAAAGTTGTAGATATTATTTTTACCTACGCGTGGATATAAAGAACGTCAAAAACGGAGGTCGTATGTGAAAGTTACAGATTTTAGAAGTCGGAAGTGTGTTGTGCGAAAATGGGTGATGTGGCACAATCTTGGCCATTGCTTTCTCCCCAAGTCTTGCCACTAGATGGTGACATGTGGCACCAAGTTCAGCCATTTTCACCCTATAAATACCACCTCTCCCACCCTCATTTTCTTCACACCTTTCCCATTCTTTCTTCTCTTTACTCTCTCTCTAGAACCTCTCTCTAGCCCCAAAATCCCCCGAAAAGCCTAGGGAACCTCCCTAGCACGAGGCGGAAGCCCCGGAGTGCTCGACGGCTCCAAGAAGAAGAGCTTTTCGGCTCGGAAACTCTGCTCCAAGCAAAGCCTGGTTTTCTATAAAACCCGCTGTAAGTGAGCTACGCCTACGCTGTTTTTAATATAGTTTTTATTTAATTATATTAACGTTATTAAGAACATATAATAAATACTTGGGCTATTATTATGGGTTATATAAGTATTTTTTTTACGCTTATATAATAGTAATAATAGCTAGACTATTAATTAGTCTCGGCGAATAATAGACTAAAATCTATTGGTGATAATACTAGGTTTTGTCGAAAGAAATTATTTTAAAGTAAACGAAGCGCTGTCCGAGTACCGAGTCACCACCTTCTCAGGTGAGTGCATAGTCCCTTTCATCTTACACATAGATATGAAGTATTTTATATAAACTACGTGCTATGTGTGCATATTATCTGAATACTTGTTGTCTATGCTGGATGAACGTTTTATACATGTTTTAAAGAATTTAAGGTGTATACGTATTTTATATATACGAATATGTTGGGTATGAGATGGGTAGATGAATGGTGAGAGATAGAAGATGATACATTGGCAGCTATAGACTTAGTGCCTATGGGACAAACACCGGTAGCTATGGACTTAGTACCTGTTAAACGTTGGTAGCTATGGATTTAGTACCTGTTGGGAATTGGTAGCTATGGACTTAGTACCTGTTGAACATTGGTAGCTATAGACTTAGTACCTATTAGATAAAGACTGGTAGCTATGGATTTAGTACCTGATGAATAGACCATAGCAGCTATGGAATTAGTGCTTTATGAACGAACATTGGCAGCTATGGATTTAGTGTCAGTCCTATAACCCTGGAGGTAAGGGACTTCGGAATAAATGAATGAAGAATAGATGACTCTTAGGATAAATCCTTAAAGAGTAAAAAAAAGATAACGGGGATGGGTAATTGGGTTGATTCTTTGATTGAACATAATAATTATATTATTGTGGGTTGAAAACCCTATGTACTCACTAGGTTTCCCAACCTGACCCACTCAGTTTATTTATATCACAGGTGTTGATACGAAGTCACTTTACACTGAGAGATTTAAAGAGATGTAGATCACTAGTGTAAATACATGTAAGTTCTGTTTATGCTTATGTTTCTGTATTAACGATGACATCCCAAACGTTTTAAGATGAATAAAAATACGTTTCTTCGAAAATGTTTTAATAACGTATTTATCGTGTTTTTCTGGGAACAAATTCCGCAACCTTTTTATAAAATGAAGTACTCTGATTTTTATAAAGCATAAACAAAATCGGTCTGTTCTAGCCGTGAAAATGGGGATGTCACAGTTGGTATCAGAGCATTAGTTTAAGCGAACTAGGAATATGGATTTATTTCTAGACTTAAACTTAGAATGCTAAGCGATGATTGTGAGGTGTGAGCACTAGCTTATTTTAGGAATTATGCCTAAAATGCTTTTATGTGCTAAATACTTGTGCCTGATATGCTGTTAGTTGTTCGGATCTATGGTCTATTGCCGACCGGATCTGGAAACCTTATGTGTTTTGGATTCTAAACGTACGACTACGATATTAGAACTAGCATATAAACGTTTCGGAGTGATAAGGATGATTTAACCGTCAATCCTAAGTAAAGATCTAGATTCACCTTATTCGGTGTATAGATCAAGA